TAAGATTGCGTTCCAAATACACTATTGTACTACAACATCTGTATGCTGTATCGATGTATTTACACAAAATTGCTAGAGCTCTAAACTTAAAAAAAATATAACCATGCATTGTATACTTATATATAAGTCCAAATAAGTAGATGAGATTGTCCAGTTTTGCTAGTTTTCGGTAACAAAAAATGTACTCCATTTTCGCAGAATAGATATTATTTTTAGATTGACGGATACTTTCTTAACCTAATCCCTTAATCAAATGTTTACACAAAAAATAAACGATCGTATTCTCTGCGTTCTTTAAATATAAATTTTCCTTTATTAGTTATGTGTTTAGTACACGACAGGAGAATTCCTAATCGCACTTGAACTATACATTGATCACATGTCGCCCCTTAATTGACTAATTCATTCAGAGGACCAAAATGATTTCCCAATCATAACAATTTGTTCCAGGAAGATCTGTTCTGTGTCTGTTCTACCTCACCATTATAATTCATCTTAACGTATTCCACCGCCAGCTCATTTCTGTTTTTAATCATCTTCTTTTTCGTATTCCTCATTTGCTTAAGGAATTGTCATGACAAAGCTTTATTATAGAGTAGGTAATGGAAGTATGAGTAACCTGTACCCCCTATCTACGACAATAATGGAATCATCGAATTGTTCAAATAGACTGTACGGAGCACATGTGCCACATTACCACTTTTGAAACTAAGAAGTGCTGGAAAATGATGCACATTGGTTCCATACTAACTATTTTCTGCGTTGTCAGTGTGGGTTATGCAGCAGGTAATATTATCAGTTTTAATCGGCATGCGACTTTTCGGTATAACGTTACATGTAGTAGATGTGTTGTACGTCCTATATTCTTCCATGATAAGAACTCGTATTATCTCTCGGTAAATCACGTTCAATTTACTGACAATGTTCGCTTACAGTTTTCAAGAATGAACGTTTTTTATTTCCTTCTTTTCGCGTTATCTATGATACTCATATGACGTATGTTTATTGGAACATAGTTGATGCATACCTCTGCTATCGGGCTAATATTTTAATACTTGCTGTCCATTTCGCATGATCATTGTGTGTCCGGTTTCATGCAGAAAGCTGGGATCGCCGGCACGCAGTCATAATATTATTGTGTCTATTTTTGAAGATATGATTCTTATAGATGCACTGCTTTGAATTCTGCTTTGAGGTTACTTGAAATCAACAAAACGGTTTGATTAAGTTTGGTATTTTGGACGAAGTTATATTTCAGAAAAGCCAAAGCCCGTATAATTTTTTCACATCAACAATAGTTTGAAGTTCTTATCTTTACTGATCTGATCGTATACTGCCAAATTCATAGAACATGAGATGCGATTATGAAAAGAGTTTGAACATGTTGAGTTGAGAACTCCTCTATGTTTGATACAGTCATACATTTTATTTGAGTCACGTTTGCATAGGTAAATCTGGTTTGAATTCGTTTTGTTTCGTCCATCTATTAACTACAATTTGAACTAGCGTCGAACTAATCCGAACATACCCGTAGTGTGTTTTGCATTTGATATCTTGTTTCCAACGTACTGTCCAATCAGATTGCAGTAGCTGAAATTATTGTAACACTCGCGGTATTCACATACTTCGTTGGTTTATAGCTGATCATGTAAACTAAGTGTTTTAGGGTAATTTCAGTGACGAAAGAGTTATGACAGACCAGTTAAATTTCATTCCACAATTCATTTTTTTGGAAGCAAATACTACAAACTATTGTTGTATTAATAGTGCTTCTACGTGTTTGATCTTGAGACATTCAGAATAAAAAACTTGTCAATTCTTAAGTGCTTTAAATTCACTGCTCGTTTCTTTCATTCAGTACATTGCATGTCTATTGAAAAAAAATAACTAATTATTTA